TGTACTTACCTGTTTTTTTTTTTTTTTTTTCAATGTCCCTTTAGCCCATTTAAATATCTATAAACACAATATTTTCTACATAGAAATTTCTAGTATGGATTTTTCATTTACCGAATTACCAGTAAATTTCAAAAATTTACCAGTAAGTTTACCGAATGTTTTTTTGTCAATTTATTGGTTAACCAGTAAATAGGTAAACCAGTATACAATCCCTAAATAGCACCATAACAAAGTGAAATACTTTTTACAATGAAATACACAACTTATGATTTTAGAAGCTTAAATAGCACTATCCACAGTCCCAGTATGTCAAGTATTAGAGCTGCACGATGACAGTGATGCAATGAAGAGAGACTTCCACATAAATAGTGATTCTTCAATCCCCACGTCTTAGAAGTGAAGTTTGTAACCAAAGTGAATCAAATTTATCCTCAATTACTTGTTTAGCAAGCTCTGTTGTACACCTATTATGTGCAACATCTTCACAATACTCCACAAGACGGAGGCAGTGCATTCTGACAGTCATCCTAAAATATAACGGCTTCAATCTAATTAGTAAATTTTGTTACTTTTATATTTTAGTTTGGCAATTTTTGTTTTATTTCTTTGAGTACTCTAGTTGTTAACACTTGTAATTTTATATATTTCAATTATCTTCCACACTTCTGCACAAGGAACAATTTTGTAAAATGCTCTACCTTTTATATTCGATTTTTGAAATAGTGGAATTCTGTTCTCTGTAAATGATAATATCACCTAAAGGGGATAGTTATATACTGTCAAAAGTACTTGCTTAAACAAACCGTTTCTATAATGCTGATAGACAGCTGTGTTGTTAATTTTGTAAAATTACTTGGCATTAGTGTTTTTGTATTTTATAAATCTCCTGAGGTCATTAGAATTAGATGGTATAGATTATATAGCTTGATACATTGGCTTGAGGTTGACTCTTGTAATTATTTTCTTCTGAATTAGCTCAATTTCCAGGTGTAAGAACTGGACTATTGCATTGCTGGACTAAGCAAAAGCTAGGGTTAAGCTACAGTTGTTGTTAAATACTCTTAGATCACCTAATTTAGGTTTGTCTTTCTGAATAATAAAAATATTGTCCATATACCTTGCATACAATTATATGCATGGAACAAAGTTCCTTACAGCTTGCTGTTCAGTAAAACATGGAATAAATTCACATAAATCACTAGAAAGGTAATAATATGAAGTCCGAAATTTTTACTGATTTTTTTTCAGTCAATGTCCCATTATTACCTAAAAACCAATTAAATTCCCCTAAGAAACTAAAGTGGAACCAACTTGAAAGAAGGAGAAATTTCAACCTCCCCTTTTCCCAAGGTAAACATTTGCCCATCTCGACAACTATTCCCACACTATGAACTTAAAAATTGATAGTTACCATATGATTTTGTCATTTTATTTGGGTTCCGGGGGCATCTCTGACCTCCCCGCACACCTTTTACCTCGCAAGTCACATGACAGTTTTCCCACTGCAAAACGATAAGAGCCACTTCTCCCCCCCTCCAGGGAGTCGCTCATCAATGGTAGTAGTAATATATACTCTAGGATTTATCTTTAACTTGGTGTCCTGTTTCGAATCTCGACGTCCTTGTGGATTTTTTTCCTTCTCTTGGAGATCCAAATACATAAAAAGGTATGGAACCAACTTTTGTGAACTCTCTCTCGGCCCCTTCACGCTTTAGGGACTCAGAATTTTCCCTCGATAATAGTTATTGTATCGTCTATGTAGATTACTAATAAATCGTTGTTTCTTTGTTAAATTGGTGTCCTATTTTACTCGTATATTGCCTGTCACCTTACCGACAGCACTCCTCCCTCCTCCACTCAACCTGAAAAATTTTAATCCCGTTCCCTTGGGATAAACTAAAGAAAATTTAAGCCATCTCTGACTAGTGGGCAAGTCCCTCCAACTTGAAAGCCGATCCACGGAGGTACGACGTAGTCATACCCCCTCAGTTCTCACAATATGTATCATCATGAAGGAACCAGAGAAACATTTATCTTATTGACTCTTGATATATGCCTAGTGTGTGGGTATATAGCCTAGATTGCGTGGTGAATCTATGGCACGTGTGTTCAAAGTGGCACATAAGGAGAAATCCTAATCTTCTGGCACATAACATATCATACAATTTTGATTTATCATGTCTTTTTCAATCATTCTTTTGTTTTATCACCTGATTGCCCTTTTTTTCAATCAGCTTTTTTACATTTATTCTAATTAAAGCATATTTGTTTAATTTCTTTAAATATTGTTATTTGAAGTCTAAAACTTTGGCATGCATAAACATCTTTAAGTATGCTTACTATATGCCATATGGGCTTAAAAAGATTTGCCATCCCTGGCAAACCTTTTTAAGTCTAAATGAATACCTAACTAAAGAGTTATTCTCTTGTATATCTAAGATCTATGCCTGTTATCATGTTTCATTTCTTCTAAAAGTAGAAGTTACTTTCAGTTAAATGGTACATATAAACATATAGGCGCATTGAACTAAAAGTAAAAGACTTGTTATGGTCCTAAGCTTTGATATATAATAGGCTCTTCACCAAATAATGATACATGTATAGTCCTAAGTTATACGTGTTTGACACGAGACGCTAATTCTGTGGTTTTCAACCGGGATACTGCGATGACACTTTAGCAGTGCCGTGAAATGGATCAATGGAAGAAAACCGACATGATGTTTCAATGATCTGACAAGGAGGTTGTCTGGGAGGACTTGATGTGGGAAGCTGATGTTAGAATGTGATGAAAACTGGAAAATTATGTGTGGCCAGCCCATTGGTGAGACATGAATCTGCAACTGACTGCCAGTTTTTGGTGATTTTATCCTCTTGATTATTGGTGGGGTCTGGTACTTACAAAATATAGTGCTGAGCTGTGCCATTACACTTCTGTTATATATTACTAAAAGTACCGAAACTCTAAATTGATAAAGAAGTAGTGGTGTTGCAAGAAAAAATTATCTGGTTGGGAGGTGCCAATATTAGAAAAAGGTTGAAAAATATTGCCTTAATTGTTTAGCTCTGTGCAAATATAGCCCTGATAATAAGAGTATGAATTACAAGTTGTTTTAATTTTAAAAAATGTAATCTTTATTTCCATTGTTGAACAAAAGAAGAAATTTGAATTTGAAAAAAAATCATTACTGGAGCTATTTTGGTGGTAGATCAATATATATTTACATATCTTTTCAGGTTTTTAATGTTTAATCGTTACTGAATTATGGTTTACAATTCAAATTCTCTAATTTATTTTTAAGAATAAAAAAGTCAATTATTTTTACTATTTAAATGTTCAGTTTTGCTTTCTATATATAGTTTAGTTATTGTATATTATTGACAGGATCATTCCAGATAATTTTGGCATCTCAGGTAAGCCTGAGAACTATTCCAATGTATAGTACTTCGGTAGTTGCTTCTCCGTCACTTATTAGCATGGCCTCGATTATTGATTAGAACAAACTACTTTTAGAACATGATTATTTATAAGTCTATATAGATTTAAAGTGCATTTATAAGCCTTATATACTTGTATTAATTGGATTGATTCAAATTTTTACATTTAAACTTTAACATGTTACAAATAGGCTTTTTCTTTTTTCTAAAAATATTTAAGAAAATACCTCAAACATAAATTCAGTTCAAATTGTTTTTTCAGAATGAAAACTTTTTAGAAAATTGAAGAAATTTTAGCCTTTATATTGTGAAATCTGGAATTTTTACCGATTTTTTTTTTTTTTTTTTTTTGAAATCTTGGAATCGAACCTGAGGATGACCGGTGAAGACGGTAGAAAACGTTCGTTTTTAAATTGAATTTTGCTGGTATATTGGTAATTTTGTGGTNGTATTTAAACTGTTTGACCCGTTCTTTTTTTTTTTTTTTTTTTTTGGTCAATGTCCCATTATTACCTAAAAACCAATTAAATTCCCCTAAGAAACTAAAGTGGAACCAACTTGAAAGAAGGAGAAATTTCAACCTCCCCTTTTCCCAAGGTAAAACATTCGCCCATCTCGACAACTATTCCCACACTATGAACTTAAAAGTTGATAGTTACCATATGATTTCATCATTTTATTTGGGTTCTGGGGGCACTTCTGACCTCCCCGCACACCTTTTACCTTGTAAGTCACATGACAGTTTTCCCACCGCGAAACGATAAAAGCCACTTCTCCCCCCTCCAGGGAGTCGCTCATCAATGGTAGTAGTAATACATACTCTAGGATTTATCTTTAACTTGGTGTCCTGTTTCGAATCTCAACGTCCCGGTGGATTTTTTTCCTTCTCTTGGAGATCCAAATACATAAAAAGGTATGGAACCAACTTTTGTGAACTCTCTCTCAGCCCCTTCACACTTTAGGGACTCAGAATTTTCCCTCGATAATAGTTATTGTATTGTCTATATAGATAACTAATAAATCATTGTTTCTTTGTTAAATTGGTGTCCTATTTTACTCGTATATTGCCTGTCGCCTTACTGACAGCACTCCTCCCTCCTCCACTCAACCCGAAAAATTTTAATCCCGTTCCCTCGGGATAAACTAAAGAAAATTTAAGCCATCTCTGATTAGTGGGCAAGTCCCTCCAACTTGAAAGCTGATCCACGGAGGTACGACGTAGTCATACCCCCTCGGTTCTCACAATATGTATCATCATGAAGTAACCAGAGAAAAACATTTATCTTATTGACTCTTGATATATGCCTAGTGTGTGGGTATATAGCCTAGATTGGGTGGTGAATCTATGGCACGTGTGTTCAAAGTGGCACATAAGGAGAAATCCTAATCCTCTGGCACATAACATATCATACAATTTTGATTTATCATGTCTTTTTCAATCATTCTTTTGTTTTATCACCTGATTACCCTTTTTTTCAATCAGCTTTTTTACATTTATTCTAATTAAAGCATATTTGTTTAATTTCTTTAAATATTGTTATTTGAAGTCTAAAACTTTGGCATGCATAAACATCTTTAAGTATGCTTACTATATGCCACATGGGCTTAAAAAGATTTGCCATCCCTGGCAAACCTTTTTAAGTCTAAATGAATACCTAACTAAAGAGTTATTCTCTTGTATATCTAAGATCTATGCCTGTTATCATGTTTCATTTCTTCTATACACCAGTTTATGAAGCTTATCATCATCAAGAATCAATAATAAACAAAAATGCAGACAAATAATTTTTTAAAATAGATATTTTGATATATTTTATCTTTCTAAAGACAAGGTAAAAATTGTTTGAAAAACTAATACAGTAACTATTAAAATATTAACTTTTATAAAACATTTAGGTGAAAATATTAATTACTCCATATTCAAATATTAGTTAAATATATTGAGAGTAATTAACTGTGTAGTTTAATTATATTAGTAATTAACTACTGCCAATCTCTAATGATATTTAATATATATACATTTATTTTAAGTAAGCAGTATTTTACTTTTTAGTACTTGTTTTACTAGTATCTGTAATTTTAAATATGATTAATGTAAATAATTATGATATAATATTTTCATAAATTCAAAAATAGCTTAAATCAGTCAAATAATTAAAGTACAAATAACAATATTTTAAATTTAAAGTCTGTTTAAAAGTATTTCAAAATTTTTAATTGCTTTGTTTTATTAAAATTTATTTATTTTTTTTTAAATAAAGGAACTGAAAATAAACTGAATTTTAAATAAAAGGAATTTTATTAGTACTTAATAATTTTTTGGAATATATTATAGTGTAATGGAAACATATCATCTAAATATATTTCATAAAGAATATGGTAATTTATGGCAAGAAAAGTCTATTACAAGTAATACTGGGTAAGTACAGTACATGTACATTAAGTACTTGACACCATAAAAATATATTATTTTAGTAGTAAAAAATGAATAAGTAATTTAAATAAAGGATCGTCCATTAATTACATGTACAGTTTTCGAGCCCCTTTGATCCTCTCCCTCCTTGCTGTATACTATAATGTATTTTTGGCAAACCTTCCTAAATTCTAATTACATGTACAGTACTGTACAGTACAATAGTTCATGGACCCCTCTGACATTGAAGAACCTTATAAGAACTTTATTGATTTTATAACTGATGGTTATTCACATGACTAGTGAGTAGGCTTATAAGAATGAATTCATATACCATTAATACCAAAGTCCATGTAGATAATGCCTCGACTCCTTCCCTCCCGACTGTATACAATGATGCACTTACAACCGTCCCCTGCCTTAAATTGTACACATAATTAATGGTTGATTCTAAGTTTGTAATTTTCACTTCTTTTATACTTTAATATATTTAATTATTTTTTCATTTTATTAATACAATAAAATTGATCATGACGTAACATGATTTATAATATGAAATAATTTTCTTACAAATATGATTTATTAACACATCTAATAATTCAATTCTCTTAGGTTAATATTAGACATATATAATGAACCACATTATAAAATAAAGTATCCTATCAGAGGAACGTTATTTACTCAAGTATCTATTGATAAACAAGGTAATAATGTTATTGCTGGTGATCAAAGTGGATGCATTTACGCTTTTGATATTGAAAGAAATCGGTAAATATCAATAATTTACAGCTCATATTTTGATTGATGAAATGATATTTCTAACTTTATTTTTGTTTTTATTTTTAGATTTTGGTTAATTTATCAACTTTGTCATTGTTGTTCTGCAATAGCATTTACAGAAATAGAAGATAAAGATATTCTTGTCGCAATAACTGATGCTAGATACAGCCTTTATTTATTTAATTCTAGTATGTGATTTCTAAAAATATTTTGTGTGAATTTTTTAAAAGTCATCTAAAAATTTTCAA